TTTTTTTTTTTTGTCCTCAGTTTCTTTACTTGTTACAATTTATTGTAATTAATTACAAAAAACATAGATGAACAACGGTAATGATATTTTACATGTTCACCTAAGTTTTAGGCTCAATAAACAGTCGAAAGGATAAAACAATACGTGAATAAAAAATATTTCAAGAACTTACATCCCTTTATAATATACTTAGTGTACATATAATTTCAGCAAGTTAACAGTTACATTGTTTCCCAATATTTAAATTTCACAGATTGTTCTTCCAATTGAAACATGAACCCAAACATGAACAATACTCAAAACTCAAAACTTTTGACTCACACATATATATGCCCCTGTGCTCAAACTCAAAGTACCAAAATATCATCAACAACTTCATCTATCAAACTACTCAAGACCCAAGACTCGATCCGAATCCCGAGCTCAAAAACATCGGCTTCATGGTCGAGCCATGACCCCTTTTTGCTGCTCATGTCCTTACCAACAATTTCATCGACCATATAATGTCCCATTGAACCCCAACAAGAAATATCTCTGTACACATTTTCAGCTAACACGTCATTTCTTCTAACAACAATCGTACCCTTGGCCCATAATTTATATCCTCCCTTTGCAAATCGTCCGCACCTCAAGTCCAAGCACTCTTTCACGCAGTCAAACATAAGCCTTCTATCTAATCTTGAAATACTTTCAACACCATTCGAATTCACTTCTTCTCGAGTTTCGAGTTGTTTGAAAACACGAGGATTTACGATCTCATTAGTTTTGCCGAGTGCATAGTCCTTAAACATAGGTTCGATATTGCTTAGTAGCTTCTTTATGTACAATAGTTCTGAATTTCTTGGTTTATTATTATGGTGAGGGGAATTTAAGGCGACGCTTCCCGTTTTGGATGCTTTCGAAGTAGAAGAAGCTGAGTCTGATAAATCAGCTTCTTGAAATTGAATGGACGAACAGTGCTTGCCACCTGCAAATTTGTAGGAGTTCAGGACTGTTGATGAAATCTTGTGCATTTAATTTAAAAAGGTAGTGATATTCATATTCTAAAAGTGGGAAGTAGACGAGAATCGGAAGGAGGGCGGTGTTTGCAAATAGAAGCGGAAAACTTAAGAATGACGGATGAAAAAATTGTATGAAGTGCCTTTAATCGTATTCAAAGGTGAAATCCAAATAAGTTAAAACAGAAATAGTTAGAACTCAGAAGCAGAAGTTTGCATTTTTATGACCAAATGCTGACAATCACATTTTTCCTTTTTTTTTTTTCTCAATATGTTATTGATGCAATTTGGATCTGTTTACCTCTCGTGCTACTACTGTCTGTGATTTCTGAGGAATTGGAACTTTCTGTAATGGAAATATGGTCAAGAACAGAAACAGGACTTGGAAGCCGATTATCAAGTAAAGTTCTCTCTCCAAAAATGGTCCTTTGATCATGCATGTCTACATCTTTAACCTGATAACACCAAAGGATTTTGATTAGCATTCACAAAAAACAGTGAAAGATTCTTACCAAAATCCAATGAAATGGAGAAGTTTCACATTAATGGTTTTGATTACGCTTTTGACAATTGGTTAACATTTTTCACTACGAAAAAAGGAAATGTTTATGAAGAACATTACAGAACTTTAATCCGAGAACACCACAAATTGTGCTCAGTACCCAGGAAAACACATGCTTGAGAAACATGAGGAAAAAAAAATTGAAAACGGTAAATTTAAAAAATATATATATGTATATATACCTGCAAATTTTTAGCAGTAATAAATCCATTAGAATAAGAATGGCCATTTTGCACAAGACTTGAGCTTGGTTGGCCTTCTATATAATCTATCCAAACTCCATCTTTGGTTTTCTGTTGAGTAAACTCTTTCTGAGTCAATAACTTCAGTCTCCCCTCCAAGAAAGTGTGCCTTAGTATATCGTTAACACTTTGTCCTAGTGGCAAAAACTTATTTTGACCATCAACGCCACCTGGGTCAAGCAATATTCGTTTACTCGGACAATTTGTGGACCCCACTGAGCCAGCTCCTTGCCTTGCACTGAACGTAAAAGAAACAACGTCCATGGCACCACCAGAGTCTACAAGATTTCCACATTTACCCTTCAGCTCATTCTTTTTTGAGCGGGTATTACGGTCAAAAGATCGTTTGTTTTTAGCAACTCCAGCTGAGTTACGAGACCTCACACGTTTCTTGTCATCTCCAACTTCCGATGCCAACTTAGAGGAATTCCTTTGCCTGCTCGAAGTAAATTCTCCGATTGGCACCTTTTTCCCGCCTTGAGATCCGGATTTCAAAGGTGGCACCTTTTCGCTATCTGCAGGGCAATTTTGCTTCTGATTGTTTTGGCGAAGCACGCTCGTGCCTTTCTGTGCAGATGGTTTCTTAAGTGTAGTACTCTTTTGTGCTTGTGATTGACTGGCCAACACCCTATTCGTCGTACTTGACTCACTCGCTTCTTTCTGGCCGACCAATGATCTTGTTTTAACATTGGCCTTAGCTTGTAATGCAAGCGAAACCGACTTTCCGTTATTTTTCGCATCAATTGCCCTCGAATAAGCCGCAGAACCATCCCAGCTTCTAGTGACTGAGTTAGACGTTTTTATCACAGCTTGGACCTTCTCTTTCAATTCCCGTACTCTTTGGGGCATTTTTGTCTTTTCTCTTGCCTTAGGCCCCGTCTTGATAATCTTAGCAGCTGCTTCCATTACGTGAGCAGCATTATTTGGCGGCCCAAGACTCGAATTTCTAACTGGAGACTTAGCTGATCTTGGCGGCATAATTTCAGTGCAGAATTTTTCAGTCGACCGTTTTGCAAAATTTTCACATTTGAACTCCAAATCTTGTGAGAAGTCAAGGCTTCTAGATTTGTAATGGGAACTACTCGCAAAAGACCGGCAGTTGGAAAGTGGAGTTGAGTTGGGGTCGAGAAAGCTTGATGTCGGTAAAGAATCTAATCCCATGAGCCGAGCAACAACGTTAGGGGCCTTGCTCGTGTAAAAATCGCCTTCGGTTAATGATGAGGCACAGCTGTAGTTACTGCTACCTTTCACGCTTGACCCGGCTGCAAATTCGTCTTCGTCAAGCTAGAGATAGGAAGAGAAGAAAAAATGTATAGTTTATGAATAAAAGGGGGGAAAGAAGGGGATTGATCATTTAGTTTGTATGGGCTTACCATATGAAGCAGTGTTGTTGGCATATTCCCATCAAATCTTTTTTTCTGCTTGAGTTTGTCTAACAAAATTAGGTGAAAACAATCTTGTTTAAGCAACAGCAAATTAGATCAAGTGACTCCTGAGTAGAACAGTAGCTGTTAACTAAAAGTTCAGAAAGAATAAAATAGCTTCCGAGCGTTGTACCATTGTGAAGAAATGAATTCCAATATATAAGGAGATTTGGCTGAAGTTTAAAGAAAGTAAAAAAATGCAGCATTGGTTTCTTAATAATTTGAAAGGACAACTTCTGGTTCTTGGTTTGAATTTTTAGTCAGAATCTTCAAAGTAAAGCGGGTGATACTTAGCTCTTAAGCGCAAACAAGTCGCTTTCACAAAACCACCATTACATTTATTCAAATTTAGCTTCTACTCGCAACATTATTAATCCTTTTACTATGAGTTTAAGTCTTTCGAGTAACTCAGTAAACACATAACACACTTAAAGCTCTGCATTTTTTCCCCAACAAAGTCATTACAAGCTATTTTAAGGAATACGTTCGTCATACCAGGTAACTTGGCCTTGCTCGATAACTTCTTTCGGGACTTTGCATTCCAGTCGAACAAGTTCAGTAAGCCTCCAACGTAATTCCCGGCTTTAGAACCTTGCCCCTCTGTCCTCATATTTGCAGACTGTAGTCGAAACTCAACTATTACGGACCAGAATTTGAGAACATAAGCAAATAATTTTGTGCCACATGTTGTTAATGGTCATCTGCTGCAGTTATGGGGGAGAAATAAGAGAGAAAAGGAAAACATAGAATTAGAAAGAGACACATGTTATTAAGTTGCAATGCTATCTTTCATTTTTCATTACCGGCTGATTCGTAACTGATTTAACATCCACAAACAAATATATATATATACTACTTGCAGATGATGGTTACATTTTTGAACTAGCTATATCAATGTTTCTGTTGCGAATTCTACATTGAGGATTAAACGAAACCAATATTAATCGAGATAAGACGATAGGAAAGGAGAATAAACAAAAACACCTACTTAATCCACTCTACACGAACACCATTTCCTTCCAACATAATAATTCTCCAATATTATTCTGTGCTCGGCATATATTTTCGGCGAAAAACGCAATTACTAGCGCAAATTCAGCAAGGCAGGCAAACATAGAACACATGACATGGGTGCACACTAAAGTGAAATGATATCCAACATCAAACTAGTCGAAAAGTCCACATTTCGACGAATGTAAAACTCAAACACAGCTTCTTCGATTCAATTGAGGTTCTCGAAAACACTTTAGTCATAACCACAACCATCATCATCAATTAATCATCATCGTTTTCACATCAAATCCATAAAATGATCACTAATAATCAAAGGTATGATAAGCTACCAAACATAGATCGTATAAAGCACACTTCAACATCTAAAATAGCAGGAAATCGGAAAAAACATACACAGCCCGCTTGAAATTAGGACTGAATAAGCTAACCCATAAGCCAAAGCAGCAAACTTTATCGGCCAAAAAGCTGAATTTTATCCGGCAAAAAAAAAAAAAAAATGAAGAAGAAGAAGAAAAGAAAGAAGAGAGAGTTGAAATTGATGAAGTAAATAGAATGCTGGATTTTGTCATTTAGCAGTCAGCTTCGTTCGAGTGTCACAACAAACAATTTGAAGCTATAAATGAGATGAGAGTGGATATTGAAGTGATTTACAAGAAAGGGACAAAAAATTATCTACGTTTTGTTACGAAACCATTCTGTCGGGGTTTGTAATCGTTAGGATGTACTTGCATTTTTTCTTTAATATTTTTTGGAAACCAACCTTATCAACGACCAATATCTTATTAATATAAATATCTAGAAATTTGGAAGAATAAATCGTATCACATAAATAAAAGTAAATAACAATATATTTAAAAATCGTACTATTCTTACCAGTTCAACCGAACACCAAAACCGACTGGGTTTGCAAGCAAACATTTTATTTAAGTTAATCGGACTGAACAATAAACCGATTGTCGGTCTATTCGGTCGAATGTTCGGTCTGGTCCTGTTTTGAAAACAATAGGTGAATTATAATTAATGTAATTTATATATTTAACTTATGACAAAATCGTAATATTGTTTCCCCGTGCATCGCGCGGGCCACGTACTAGTTTACAAGAAAAGGACAAAAAATATAGGAAAGTTCTACGGTTCTGTTACGAAATCATTCTGTCGGGGTTTGTAACCGTTAGATTAACTATCTACGACAGTTACATGATGATTTAACGGTTACAAATATCGACGGAACCGTAATATTTCCCAATAATATAACTAAAATATCTATATTTAATTTTCATAAAAAAAAAATACAGTATATAAGAAATAAGGAAGATTCTACGGTTCTATGGTTCCGTTATTAAACTATTCTGTCCAATTATAATCGATAGATCAATTATCCTTGACGTTTACATGATTATCTATCAGTTACAAACACCGACGACTGATTATATAACGGGACCACGGTAGCATTTTCTAAAAGATAATTCTAAACGGAAAAAGGTTAATTGATTGACTTGTAACGTCTCTTTTGGTGAGAGGGAGAGATTTCAAATTCCAAATATAAACAAAAAAATCAAATAAAAAGCAAAGGGCCATTATTGGTGCTGAGGGCTTGATTGTCTTTTTAGCAATGCACGGTAACGTCGGTAAGAAGAATACCAGTTTATTTAATTCCTATGTATCTAAATAAAGTGATTTATGAACTGCCCAAATATGACATAAATAGTTATATATTCCCCAACTATAGTTTAGTTGGCTTTAAAGTTAATTTATATAATTTTTTTCATTAGTCCTCACGCGAGAAACGAAAATGATTTGATTGATGGGTATATATTTTTTAAGAAGAATTTAGTGACTTCTATTTCTATTTTTAAAGGTAATAAATAGGAAGTAAATGAGTTTTTGTTTAGAGCATGTACAACACAGCGCTACATTTGCCAGAGTCGTGCAAAATTTATTGTCCAGCGGTGCGTCAGATATTGATGCTAGATGAGATATATTTACAGTATTGTGCCACATCTTGCGCAGTACTATCCATGCGCTCAAAGGTTTTTTTTTTCTTTTATATATCAATGTTGAACGTGGATTGTTTATCAATATTAACGAATCAGGTACGAACCTTAATAAAACGATCTCGATATTTAACGTGCCGAACTGTAAAAATTTATATAAAATTTTCTTTTTGAATCTTATCGAGTTGAGTCGCGCTCAACTCGTCAACGAAACGAGCTCATCTCATTTATCAAGCACAATGAACCATGTTGTACATAGATATCAGTACTAATTAAAGTATTAAACTAAAAAACTCTTCATTTTTTATTTGCATGTGTATTGTCAGCTCACAAGGTGTATTGTAATGGCATTGGTAAAAAAATAAAAAATAAATAAAAATAAAATAAAATAAAATAAAATAAAATAAAAGGAATTGCGCATAAATTTAATTTTTTTTACCTACCATCAAATATTGCTAAAAACGAAAAGCACATTTTTCAAATATTGAAAAAACGAGGTTGACACATAATTAGAGTCTATAATTGATTTGACAGCACTAAGAAAATTATGCTAAATAAAATTTCGAAAAGGATTTGGGATGAAGATACGAAAATCGTGCTCACCACAATATTTAAATCCGTTTACTATTAGTATAAACCAAATGGGTCAATTTACTTGCATGAAGCCAATATACGCATCCTCCTAGATACCACTGAGTTTTACCGACTTTATTGATAAGTTAAACAACTTAGGCTATGTTTGGTAAAATTAGTTGATAAGCTAGCTGATAGCTGATAAGCTAGCTTATAGCTTATATGTAATTTTTGAGCTTATAGCTTTCAGCTTATGACTTATAGCTGAAAAGCTAGCTTATATGATAAAAGGTGTTTGGTAAATTAGCTGATAAGCTAGCTGAAATAAAAAAATTCAACTAGCTTATTTGAAAAGCTACCTAAAGTAGCTTATGAAATAAGCTCGAGCTTTTTAAAAAAGCTCGTCTTACCAAACGAGGCTTATTTTAAACAGGGAGCTTATAAGCTAACCAAATAAGCTAAAAACTAGCTTATTTGGCTTACCAAACATACTCTTAATATATCTGCAGTTGAGGGAGAGCTTTGCCGCCCTTGTGGTCCTACCCGGCTCGATTCTGAATTAGTCGATTGTCCTGTGGATTCAGAAACCGGAAGGTCCATGTACCAAAAAAAATATTAAATACTAGTATTAGTATTAATACCCATGTACAACATGGGTGTTGAGTTAATGAATATATGTGCAAAGTTATTTATGTCTAATATCAAACCTAATTCTAGAGCAAAAATAATATAAAAACAACATCACGAAGTTTAGATTTTCGTCATGTCAGCCTACGAAGCGTGAGAATCTGCAACCTAGGCTCAACATGTTTTGAATTAATATATAGGGAGAGATAACGCCCGTGTATTACACGGGTACTTGCTAATCTTTTACCTTAAAATTTAAAATTTAATGCAAAAAAATAGTTGAAAATTTAAATACCTTTTATAAAAATATATATTAATATATATTTAGTATGAAACTTTTTATTTGCGCGACTTACATGTGTTATATTATAATAATTTTTTTAACTAACATATAACTACATTAAACATAAATATATCAATTGAGAAATAATTTTATTTTTCTAATGAATTTTAATAAATATTATTATTTTTTATTAGTATAAAGATATATATAATTTATTTATTTCATATATACAATATGGATGTCAAATCGAGCATCAAAAGATGATTAATTGGATATATTATATATGTAAAACCGACAAGTAATACAAAAGTTATCAACTTTTAAAATACATTTACAATTCAATAGCTAATTGAAGAAAACAAATCAAAAGTAATTGATATATTAGTCACTTAGTGCCTCACTATGTAATATTACAAAGAATTAAAGTATTATATTAGTATAAGTGATATTAAAATACTTAAGTTAGCTAAATAATATTTATGGAATGTCCTAACTTAGATTATGAATTATTAATATATCAATATTATTTGTCCAAACCTAATTACGAAGCATGATTCTTCGCCAAGTAGGATTTCGAAACACTAGAAGCAGCCACGTAGGCTCAGCGTATTCGTGAATTGTATATAGGGTGGATAGTAGTGTGTAACTGTGCGATACACAAGTAAACTATATTAAATAATAGTAGTGTGTAACTGTGCGATACACAAGTAAACAATATTAAATAATAATTATAAAATATTAATAAATAATATTAAATAATAAATATAAATTAAAAATGTGGAGTTGACATGTGAGATAACTTACAATGAATTATCTTGTATAATAAACTTAAAACATATATGTTTAAAATATTAAAAATGCAAATATTAAACATATGTAAGATTTTTATATTATTTTTAAAAAATGTGAAGTCAGCCACATTTTTTCTAAACTATTTTGTAAGCAAAACATGTATAAAAACACTTAAATTTAACAAGCACACACATATGTAGGGTTGAGTTCAAGTGAGAATGATAATCAATGAAAGAAATAATAATACATCTTGGTCATTAGATCAGATGATCTAATGGCTAAAAAAATCATAATTATACATGTATTAAGAATAATGTGGTATTTTTA